TGCTAACAAACACCAGTGATACAGGCACATACTTTCATACTGACACTGTAAAGCACAGCTAGAACAATTGTTTCAATTTAAACAGATGTCACATTCACAAGAATTAACAGGAAATAGAMAAAATTTGTCTTTGAGTCCACTTAATATGAGCAGACAGCAATATCAGATTCAACCTTTCAGGTACAGTCTCTCTCGTTTCTTCTCCCAGATTTCCTAAATTATTCTGTTCATTTACACTACAAAGTTTACCTGGCCAATAAATTACCAACGGAGATAGTAAACTGATACTATTTTGAAATCAGATGAATTATACTATTTTGAAATCAGACGAATGCTGCCAGCCAGCAAGGACACTAACAAAAGCTAAACCAGCACACCAGTGGAAATCCTGAAGTTACTACCCTTTTCAGGAAGAAACCCCCTGGAATTCTGATACAGGGGTATAAGACATCATCCCCATTCCACATGATAAATTTTGCCAACAGTGAGTTGCCAGCCAAAGCAAAGCGAAGTTGCTCTAACACTGTCTATTTTATTGGGTCCCACTTTTAAACATGCAAACATATCTGCTTACAGCTGAGCTGTGGTCCTTGATGGCTCTTTAACTATTGCACATCTTCTAAATTAACATGAAAACACTACTYAAAATTTTAAGAAAATAATTATATAGGGATCATAGCATGCTCTCATAGCACACTTGGAAATAAATAGCTCTCTCTTTTCCCCACTCAAACTTTAAATTTTGCTTCAAGGAAAGGTTATTGGCCTTAGAAATAAACATCACCAATTTCATTTCAGTCTAGCATTTATGACTTTAAATGTCCTTTTTATTCACCTTGCATTAAAACCAAGTTTAATCTCACCTTGAACTTCTAGACCATTCACGCCATATCAAAATCAGGCAGCCAATCAGCATGAGCTTCTTGTGTAATAGGATAACAATTGAGAGCAAGAAAATTCATTTGATTCATGTGTCRTATCAATATAGGAAGAAAATTTAAGACTTGTCCACAAACATCAACATTTGAACTTGAAAATTAAGATCCATACCCTCCAAAAACCTGAAGCTCCTGAATAACTGAGTGATTTCAACGTACAATGTAATTCCATGCTTTTTTCCTTTGATTCATGCAGTTTGAAGAGATTASCAGTGACAGAAAAGCGTAAATGTGATATGAGACTATAACTTACAACACTTATCTTTTAAAGTTAATTAAGTTCTTCCCTACGTAGCTATACCAGGACTACCAGAAGCCCAAAGAAAATCTGTGGGTGTGGGGGCAGAACACTGCCACTCGAGCAGCAYGGCCATTCCACCACTGCAGATCTGSYATTTGGTGGCCATTGGAAAATGCTGTCAGAGCTATTCTAATATCCCAGATTTTTAACTTAGGCTGCCCGGGTGTGGAAGGAGAACTGACTTCTGTCTATCCTTTGCTCTCACCCAACTGCCCAAATACCTCCAATATCCAACACCTTGATGCTTCCTGCGACTCAGCAAAGTTCAAGACTCCTGCACATTCTCAGTGTATGCAGCACCTGGACACCAAGTGTGCTGCATCCATCTAAGCACCCATATGCARTGGGAAAAGCCTGGCTTCCCTGTGCTGATCCCCAGGCATTTTCCAGCTTCCTGCAACAGCAGGATGAGACAGCCCATCCTTTCCACATTTCTCAACAAAAAATTTAAAATTAAATACGTCAGTATTAATAATTATTAATAAGCAAGAACCATAAAGTACAATGAGGCCTGTGCATTTCATAGTACCAGGTCTGACTCTTTGCAGAGTCCCTACATATTCCCAGAGGGAAACGTGATGGGCATTTTGAAACCGTTCATCTAACTAAAAGGARTATTTGGCTTGCCAGTAGGGGAGTGGCAAAACCTGTATTCCTTATTTATGACCTAACATTTTACTTATGAGTGCAACACTGCAATACTGYTATGCCAAAGCCTCACCACACAGCAATTGTACGCCGTCAATTAATATTAATTAAAGCTGATGAAAACCTAGGAATGCAAACCCTTCCAAACTGCAAGGGCACGCTAATCCTGCTCTGGCACTTCAGCTTCACGGAGGAACAATAGCCTTATTTTCTAGCTAGAGTTCAACTGCAGCTTTCACCTCTTCACACAGGTCTAAAGCCCAGATGGTTTGGTTAGAGTCTGGATCCCGCCCTAATCAGAGCTATGATTTCAGTTGTGAACCCTAAAGCCGTCTTTTTAATGAAATAAAGCCACTGAACAAGAATGGCTCGCGAGGTCTTTGTACAGATGGACAAAGACAGACACACAGGCAACATCACAACCGGGCTGAAAAACCGCTGAGCCAGGACAGAGGATTAATGCCTGCATGGAACCTCAACGCTGCTCACTTTCCCCACTCCAACTGTAAAAAGCACAAGTGCACTTTCAGAAGAAAAAAATACAGCTTTTTGCAATTTTTCCACAAAAAGGTTCTGGGCTGGGTTCTGATGGTATGAGGCTGCAAAGGAAGGCATTTTGTCTTCAAGAGCATGGAGATATATGATGGCTTCCCCTCAGTCTTCTGCTACCTATAAGGAACTTCAAAATTGTGCRGAGAAAGACAAATGGGGGCATATCTAATTGGCACAGCACACAAAAATTAATGYCATTAATAAAAAGTGATTTACTTGACAAAATTCCCTAGCTGAATTGAGAGAGTATTTTACAAGTCAAAAAGCTGGAGACAACACAGCCATTCACACCTTCTCCCATTGCCTCCTCTATACAAATCTAGCCCARAGGCACAGGTTTTAATCCTGTAGTTGTTAAAGGCTTTTGTCATTCAGCAAAGCTTTCCCAATCCAGACCAAAGTATTGGCTTCCAAAGTCACACAGCATCTCACATTACCTCTGGCATCACACACAAACCTGCACAAATAGTTTAAGGAGACCCTGCAGCCCCTGCCTCCTTCTAGGGATTCACACCCATTTCTCTAAGGCAGTCAATCCACAGAGTTTTCTTTCCACAATTAGAGGCCTAAAGCAAATTTTTTATTAAATTGAAAATACCTAGCAGTAAGATCTGATTTAAGCTGATGCATATACAGTGAAAACTAATGGGAATTTGAGAATTACACAGATTTCTTCACATGCAGTCAGTTCAAGAATTCCTAAACAAGTGTAACTAAGAATAAGAAAGCCATCCACCAGGTAAGAAAGCTTTCAACTGCAGTTTTCCCTTCCCAGTCTCTTCCTTAGGTGTACATGACCCAGACTCTAGCATTCCCAGTGTTTTCCAATACATGTGGCAGGCTTCAGTCATTAAAGTTGCTCTATTACAGAAAACATGTCGAAAATACATAACTGTCAATCCCCCTGCTAGAGCATTTTGAGAAAACCTGGCATCATGCTGAATTCTGGGATTGTGCAATGGCTCTGCAGTGATGGAGCTGGTCTGGGCTGGACCAGGAGCAGCATCAGCCTTTTCCTACAGACAACCTGCCCTCCAACAGCATCCCAGTCAGCATCCCTTCTGGATTTCAGGCTGCTGAAGTAGAGGCCTTACACACTTAGGATTCAGTTCCCAGCAAAGCCAGACAAAGCCCAGGCCTGTCCCCAGGCCTCCCTCCAGCAGTTCTCTTTTAAATCCCCTTGGAAATCCCCCAGGCTCTCTCCTTTCCCYCAAAACCCTCCAGGACACCCTGGGCTGGAGGAGAGAGGGACTCAGCCCCTCATACCTTGCCCGGCTCTTGTGTCTCCCATTCTGCATCCCAGTCTAACAAAAGCCAGGGAATGCACGACTATGAAGACTGGGAAGTGTTCCCAATAATTCTTATTAAGAGAGCAATGCTGCAGTGAATTATGATTACGCTGTGTAATGAAATCATCAGAGAATAAAGATGTGGCTGCACATCCATACTCAGCTATCCCAGGCAGCCAGGAGTGATTTACAAACAGACTGGGTCAACATTAAAAAAAAAAACCAAACAACCAGGAGCTCAGATGTATTGTAACACATTATTTTCATGCTACATTCAAATACTCCTGTAGGCCATAAAGCTCAGTCACCCAGTGGAGGTTTATAAACCTCAAATCATAATGAAAACTTAAACCTCATTTCACTTAAGTTACAGAGTAACTCACGCGAAAAATAAAAAATTTAAGTCTATTCTAGGTTTTTCTCTTAGATAGGTCTCATTCCAATGGATGCCAACAAAAGTGAGGTCACAGGCACTATAAGAAAAAAAAAAATTAAGCATGTACTCCTGTGATTTTTACAGAAGGCTACAAAACCCACCAAGAACAGGGTTAACAGCAAAAGACAAAAACCTGCAAAAGACAGCATCTAAACCTTCATTCTCTTTAAATATTACTGGATAACATTACTTCATTCTAAAAATCTAGACCTTTTATGTAAAAATCTGCCTTTTTAGAGGTATTTGGACACATAGGTCTTTGACCTAACCAAAGCATTAGGCAAACATGATGCCCGAAAAAAGGGCAAGCACTAGGGTATATTGGGAGGTTTGATTCACCAGGAGAGTGACAATTTCATGGCAGGGGAGAGGGCAGGTCAGGGGGAGCAGCTCCTCAGCCTTTATGAAGCCGTAACACAAAAGGAAATTTTGCTCCGGCAACGCACTCCAAATCACTGACGGTCAGTGYAATTTTAACCCAGAGCTGCTGCCTSGAGAAGGGGCTGGGGCCGGGGACGAGCAGTCTCGCTCCAATCAGCCCCTTGGCACGGCAGCGGGAGCCACGCGTGACCTTCGATGCGCCAGGCTGGGTCCTGCAGGCATCCTCGGCTGGAGCAGCGCCGGGCCGAGGGGGTTAAGCGTGGGAGGAGTGTACATAAGGTGGTGGATCCAGAGCCAATGGGGATATTGCGCTATAGTTAGACACTGAATCCTAAGCGATGGTGACCATAGAGGCTGCTCAGGGYTGAGCTGCTCTGGATGACACCGGCACGATGCCTTTAGTTACCGGCTTATAAGGCAGGAAAAAAAAGCAGAGGAGGATCAGCTAGGCTTACCTGCAGTTCACACCACGCGACTTCCACCCACGTCTCCGTGTCCAGACCCTTGTAGACCGTTTTGAAGGATCCCCGCCCGAGCTCAATATCAAACTTTAGGAACCTGCCATCCGGCGAGGTGGCAACGGCTTTCATGTCAGCTTCCTCCTCGGGCTCCTCTTTCTTAGCCTTGCCCTGGTCCTTGGCAACATCCTGCGCCTCTCTCCGCTCCGCATCCTTGCCTAGCTCCTTCTGTTCCTCGGCGCCTGCGGCGCTGCCCGAGGGCGGCGTTGCCCGCGGCTCTCCAGAGCACTCGGCCTCTCGGCCCGCCGCCTCCGCCGACCCCTGCCCCACCTTGGCCCGCTCCGCGATTATCCTCCTGGTTTTGGGGAGCAGGATGATTCTCCGCTGGTGCTCCGCCTCGGGCAGGTCGAAGGCGGGCTCCTCCTGGTCCGAGTCCACCACGCTCCGCCGCAGGAACCGCTGATGGACCAGCTTGGGGTCCTTGGAGCCGGGGCCGCGGGGCGGCGGGGTGGGGGCCCCGGGGGCTCCAGGCATTGCGGCAGTGTCCGTGTCCGCGGCTGCCCCGCTCGCCCCGCCGCCGGGCCCATCCATGTTCACGCCGGTCTCCGCAGCCGGGGGAACGCCGGGCTCGGCGGTCGCTGGAACCCCGCCACGGCCGCCGCCTCTGCCGCCCCGCCGAGGTGCCGCTCTGGCATCGCCCCCAGTTTCCATCCGGTCCGAGGTCTCAGCGCCCGCCGCCGCCCCGGCCCGGGGGAGTCACCGCGAGCCTCGCCCGCACCGCCACCTGCGCGGGGCAGAGCGCAGCCCTGAGGCTCCGCCACGGCCCGGCCCGGCCCCCGAGCACCTCCCCCGGCCCCGGGGCTCCGATGAGCCGGGCCCCCGGGCCGGGCCGCGGCCGCTCTGACCGGCCTCCCCCCAGTCCCCGGTAAGGGCCCGGCCGAGAGCGCCGGACGACCGGTGCAGCCCCGGACCAAGGCGCGCGGCGGGGACCGCCTCACCTGCGGCGGGCCCGCGCACAAAGGCGCGGCGGGGCCGTTACTTACGTGCGGAGCCGGGGGCTGCCGCGCTCACCGCCATGCGCGGGGGGAGGCGGGCGGCGGAGGAGGGGCGGCTCCGCCGAGCGTGCGCCTGCCCGGGTGCGCAGCGGGGCCGGGGGAGCCG